TATTTACTGCAAGAGAAGGAACTCGATGGAATTGAGATCATGGGATGAATTAGGTTGGTATCCTGCTTTAATTGTGATTTGGACATAACTTCTGTTTGCAAATATACTGGTATCCTAACATCATAGCATTCTCATCACATCATCAGATAATTTATTTTTTGTTTACCACCTTAGAAAGTCTTCCAGAAAAATCTCAAATCATTTCACACTATTATTTTGAAATGTAGTGACTGTGTTGTTTTGAAGGCAACTTTGTGTTAGGTCCATAGTTGTATTCAGCTCTGTGGGACTAGATTGGCCAGGACCTGCTGGAGGTGTATGACAGTATGCTTCCGGCAGGTACCATGAGGACCACCCTCGTCTACAAATGGAAGGAGGAAGAGGGAGGAAATTAGAAATTAGCAGCCAATCTCAATACTAAATACAGACTATAAAATTCTGTCTAAGGTCATCACCAACCAGGTCAGATCTGCACTGTGATCTGTGATTTACCCTGACCAAACCTGTGCTGTACCAGGCAGGACAATCTCTGAGAGTCTTGTGCTTCTCAGGAATATGATTACCTACGTGCAGGATGGAGGGGGAGAGGTGGACGCCTGCCTCATCAGCCTGGACCAGGAAAAGGCCTTTGACAGGAAATTGCACACCTAGATGTGGGATGTGCTCTTTAAAATGGGCTTTGGAGAGGGAATAGGCAATTGAATCCGACTGCTCTACACCAACATCTTTAGTGCTGTCTCCAACAATGGAAAGGATGCAGGCCTGAGAGGGGTGACTATTCCAGGCAGTGGAGGCCTGCAGGTCAAAGCCTCCTAGTACATTGATGACATTGCCATTTTCTGCTTGGATCCGCTGTCAGCGCACAGACTCATGAGTATCTGTGACCAGTTCAAACTAGCCTCGGGTGTCAGGGTAAATCAAGGCAAGAGGGAGGCCATGTTTTTGGGGATCTGGGCTGACAGGTCCTTCATTCCCTTCACTGTCAGGACAGATTACCTGAAGGTGCTGGGAATATGGTTCAGAGGGGCCAGGGCGTGCACAAAATCTTGGGAGGAGCCCATTGCCAAAGTAAAGCAGAAACTGGTCCTTTGGGAGCACCACTCCCTCTCCATTGCAGGTGAAAACCTAGTCATTAGGTGTGAGGCACTCTCTCTGTTGTTGTACATAGCATGGGTGTGGTCCATCCCCCAAAACTATCCTGTTTCAGTCACCCGAGCAATCTTCCACTTCATCTGGAAGCCTAAGATAGACCGTGTCTGCAGGGACTCCATGTACAAAACTTTGGATAAGGGGTGAAGAACGTACCCAACATTGTCCTCATCCTGATGGCCACCTTTGTGTGCGGCTGCATCAAGTTGTACATCGACCCTCGGTATACAAACACCAAATGTCACTACGTACTGAGGTTCGATGTGTACCTGGTGTTGCGAAGGATGGGACTGGCCTCGCTGCCGCGCAACACTCCAAGTGGTTGGACTGTTCTGTATCACCTGTCTGTCCCAGAAAAATTTGCAAAGAAAAACACCTTTGACCACGAGTCCATCAGGAAATGGTCAGCACATAGCATCCTCAAGACCGTATAGGAAAAGGAGAGGGTGGATCCCGTCATGTGGTTCCCTGAGCAGACTGTCAAAGTCATTTGGCAGAAGGCCTCCTCACCAGAACTTTCTAACAAGCACCAAAACACCGCTTGGCTGGTGGTGAGAAGGGCTCTAGCTGTGAAATCATTTATGTACACCTGGTCAGCCTGCACCACTGCATGCTGCCCCCACAGTGGCTGTGGGGAAGTTGAGACTGTCACAGATCTCCCTCTGGATTGTGCTTTTGCAAAGGAAGTCTGGAGGAAGATGCAGTGGTTTGTGTCGAGGTTCGTCCCGAGCAGCTCCAGGATTCAGGACTCTGTGCTCTACAGAGTGTTCCCCAGGACACACACCGAGACAAACATCAGCTGCACCTGGAGGACCATCAACTCAGTGAAAGACACTCTTTGGTCGGCCTGAAACTTGTTGGTCTTCCAGAACAGGGAGTTGACACATTCCAAGGTCCAGGAGTATGTGCTCAGGGACGCACTAAAGCTTGGGGCAGCTGCCGCCAAGCCTCAGTGGGGAAAGACCACGGTCTGAGGTCTTCCTTCTGAAGGTAAAGGAGGGTCCGTTCAGTTATCAGACCCTCCCTGTGTGTCAAATAAATGAAAATATTAGTACTGTAGGTGTAAGAGAGGTCTTTGGTTTTGTGTACAGTCAAACTCCAACATTTTGTGTGTTTACTTGATATGCAACGGTGCAGAACCAAACTGCTTTTATGTCAATGTATATATTTCAAAAATTTTTATGAATAAAGTGTATTTTTGAAATAAAAGAAGAGAATACATCACTGACAAGTATTTATTCTTATATAGCAAGAAGGTTATTGCATTTTAGCAATAAATACAACTATTGTTGGTCAGGTATAATTACTAGAGACCTCCAGAAGCATGAACAGATAAATCTGCTGCCCCCAAAAGTTAGATTAGAACTTGTCTTCACTCACAGATAATGAATGACATGCAGAATGGGTTGAGCCAATGAGACAGAAACATTAACTCCTTCAAAGCCATTATCTTATACAATAGAGCGATCGGCAGCATCGACATGAAGGGCAAGCATTGGACACGGTTGAATGTGGAACCATCCAGAAACCTGCAAACAGCCCTAACAGGATTTACTTTCTGGTTTCCCAAATGGTGACTGCCCGGTCCATGTTATTACCTGAGGCAGCTTGTATGAGGTCCTTAAATGGGCATTAAGCTTTTCCTTCCTGGACTTATCTGGGACATCAGAATATTCTACTTTTTGGGCCATCACATCAGGTTTCCCCAGGGTATGGGACAGAAGGGTACTTGACGGCTCTAGGCAGCCCACCATGCTAGGGTTGGTAGAGGAGCCGCTGAGCTTGAGTCAGGAACAGCCCCAGGACCCATGATTTCAGTCCTTCGTCTGAGTGTTCCACCAGATATCTATATTTCAACTTTATATTCAGCTAAGATCAGAGGAAGTAACCAGGAGCAGGAAACATTGGTTAATTTTTTTCTTCCTTTGTCTGCCACAGATCTAAATGTCACAGTGTTTATTTAACTCAAAAATTCTAGCAGTCATTTGATTCTAACCAGTCATTCTAACCAGTCATTTGAAACAATCCCCACTCTCAGCACCACACGCTCCCGTTGCCAAACATGAACAGATTGGAACCTAGACAGAAGACATCTACACGTATTTATCATGTTTCCCTGAGAAAAATCACACTACGTTCACCAGCTATAAATATGTTGAACTGAAATTGTTCTGAGGAATCTAATTAGTCCACTTATATAATTTATCCAAGTGTTGTAATGTTTAAAAAAAATGACACAGAGCCATATAAGGAGCTATTAGATGAAGTGACCAAAGGATTGGTCAAATAAGTAGGTTTTTAAGGACCATCTTCAGGAAGAAAGTGAAGAAAAAGGGCAGAGAGGTTTAGGCAAGAAATTCCAGAACTTAAGGCTTTGACAGTGAAGGTACATCAACCAAGAGTGATGTGATTAAAATCAGAGATACCTGAAGAGGCCAGGAAGGAGGAGTGCAGTAATAATGCCAAATTCTGCAAAAGAGAGATTCTGGGTGGCAGAGACATTAGTATCAATGGAACCCAGCAAGATCTCAGATCTACAACAGATGAAGAGGCAGAGTAAGGACAGGGGCAATTGTACTATTGATATATTGGCCCATACATCTCTATCTTGCTTTATAAATTTCTCAGAATTTAAGATTCATGACCAAGCAATATGTAGTGACTGGCTAATTTAGACGTGTTTCTCTGATGGTGCTGAACATAGAACATAGAACATAAAACATAGAACAGTACAGCACAGTACAGGCCCTTCAGCTCACGATGTTTGCTGACCTATTATCCTGCTAAGATCAAACTAACCTGCATACCCTTCATTTTACTATCCTCCATGTGCCTGTCCAAGAGTCACTTAACTGTCCCTAATGTATCTGACTCCACTGCCACTGCCGGCAGCGCATTCCACGCACCCACCACTCTCTGTGTGAAGAACCTACCTCTGACATCTCCCCTACACCTTCCTCCAATCACCTTAAAATTATGCCCCCTCGTAATAGTCATTTCCGCGCTGGGAAAAAGTCTCTGGCTATCCACTCTATCTATGTCTCTCATCATCTAGTACACGTCTATCAAGTCACCTCTCATCCTTCTTCGCTCCAATGAGAAAAGCCCTAGCTCCCTCAACCTTTCATCATAAGACCTGCCCTCATTCCACGCAGCGTCCTGGTAAATCTCCTCTGCACCTTCTCTAAAGCTTCCACATCCTTCCTATAATGAGGCGACTAGAACTGAACACAATATTCCAAGTGTGGCCTAACCAGGGTTTTATACAGCTGCAGTATAACTTCACGGCTATTAAACTCAATCCCCCTGCCAATGAAAGCCAACACACCATACGCCTTCTTAACAACCCTATCAACTTGGGCAGCAACTTTGAGGGATCTATGGACATGGACCCCAAGATCCCTCAGTTCCTCCACACTGCCAAGAATCCTGCTATTAACCCCGTATTCTGCATTCAAATTCGACCTTCCAAAATGAATCACTTCATACTTTTCCGGGTTGAATTCCATCTGCCATTTCTTCACCCAGCTCTGCATCCTGTCAATGTCCCATTGCAACCTAGAACAGCCCTCCACGCTGTCCACAATTCCACCAACCTTCATGTCATCGGCAAACTGAGACACAATGCAACCACTCATTCAAAAGTACAATGCATGGAATCATTGAACACTGTTGCCTATAAGCAACTCATCAGTATCAAAAAGATCTCACTAATGCCATGAAGAAGTGTCACCAACCTATATGAATCTCTCTGGCATGTTGGCATGTTCACAGTTCATCAGTAACACAGTAGGCTATTTTCATGCACTTTAATGATACAAAATGTATAATAACTGTTGAAAAATCCTTACCAGATAAAAATCTATCTGTCATCCATGGCAGCATCTAAAAAAGAAGAAATGAAATGGATAAAGCATTGAGGTGATATCAAATATAAAATGAACCTATGTTGAGGATGGGGTGACTATCCCATGTTTCAACGTTATGGTATATGATACATCAGCCATTGCAACTTTGAGAAAGACCCAAGAAGAGAGTATCATTTACATTATCAGTCACCATGGGTGTTGGATGGTATCAAGAATAATGTGAGTGGTGAAGGGAGCAGGAGGTGGATCTCGTGGATAATGAAAGCTCGGAAAAAGCATGAGGGAACAGAAGAGAGACCACAGAAAGCCAATTGGAATAGGTGAAAAACTGTTGAGTGTGTTGTTGGTGGACATGGGGAAGGGGGGAAACAGCTGAACTGGTGTCTCGATCATAGTGACTTAAAAAGTCCATTCTTGAATAAGGATTCAGTAATAATGAAGAATTAATGCATTTTTAACACTCAGTTCTACCCAATCTGAAGATGTCACACAGTCTTTGGGTGATAAATCAGGCAGTGTTGTACAAGATCCTGATGGGATCAGAATCGATATACCTGGCTCTTGATAGTCTTAAGTCAATGTAATGAGCCAATTAGTCAACTAATTGTATCCATCGCTTTTGTGCAATAAACCTCCTCTTATTGTGTCTGACGGGAAGTTCTCCTTGAAAAGACTAGTGGTTTTTCCTCTACTACTGGTATTTAGATTGTTCCGCATACACTGTGGAAAGAGAATTTGGGGCTCTTATAATGCAGTGATAGTGTCGCCGCATCTGCCAGGAAGCCTGGGTTCAAGTCCCACCTGCTCCAAAGGTGTGCAATAACATCTCGAATAAGTTAATTAGAAAATATCTGCAAACGTCTGGTCTTTATTAACAGGGATAAGACATTTAGTTGCAACCTATTTAAATCACAGTATGTTTATTTGTTAAGGGGTATGATTCTCACTTTGGATCACAGTCTTGTGTAGCAGTGATAGTGTCCCTCCCTCTGAGACAGAACCTCTGGGTCAAGTTGCACCTGGTACAGAGGTGTGGCATGACATGTCTGAACAGGTAGCTTACAATGAACTAGGCAGGAAGATTAGTGGCAGCACTTTACCTCACAGCTCAATGTAACACTCAACACAACTCTTGTTGGAGGTCAGGATGGAGGGAGCAGAAAAACTGGTTGGTTGTTAAGAAAACAGTGAGCGTTATCTTTCCTTTCAGAATACTTGTAGACTTGTAGTCAGTTTTGGGAGTGAGGCCTGCTTTGGCTGAACCAGTTGTGAGCCAGGTATGCTCAGTCTGCAAGCCTTGGAATTGGAGATTGCAAACCTTAGGCTTATGCTAGGGAGAATGATCAGGTGGTGACAGAGTAAAGGCTTTACAAATGGGCTGAAAGAAGTGATCAAGTGGTTCAGCTGATCCATAACTGCGGAGGTACTCAGCAAGTGGAAGGCCATAAGCAAAGAAGGAAAGGTATTGAGAGTTTAAAGGAAATGTAATGGTGATTGATTTTGATCTTAACTGGTGTGAAGTGACACAAATTTGGAAAACTTGAGAGATTATGGGGAGATGTCATAGAACTGTTTATCATAATGATATAGTTAGAAGTTGATGCTTTCCAGCGCCAGAAAAACAAGATGAAATATCAAATTTTAGAACAAAGTAAGTTTTTTTTGTAAAAAATAAGTTGCCAGACAATGCAATTCATTTCCATGTTTAGTGATTCGGACATAAAAAGCACATTTACATTCAAGAATAGATTAAACTGGTAGAGAAAGGAAAAGGGGATAAAGTGATATGATACTTAAATGTCTAAATGGGATTTGACTATTGTTCACAAGGATGGTCAACACTGGTATGGACAGGTTGGAATGAATGCCCTATCTCCATGTCATAACATCTTTATCCTTCTATTTGTCTCTGTAATATTACAGTAATATACCATACTTTCTACTCTCACATGTTTTAAGAGTGTACCTCCTCACTTTAACACTTGACAAAACACTCTGGACTATTTCTAATGCACCAAGTGTTGCCATAACTTTAATCACCTAATTCTCAAGAGCATGACTTGGCAATTTTATTATATGAATTTAGCATTACATCTGCTATGCATTAGTTTGCTCAGCCACCAGAAGATTCAGGCTATGCATCAAAATTGCAAGAAGTAATGGCCCTTATAGAGAGGAATGACGTAACTTAGTTAATGATGGAGTCAGGAACTTTGATTAAATTAATGAAGTGAGTGCTTATCCAGCTCTCGCTTTGTTCTTTACATGTTTGCACACTAGGATATTCAATGTAATCTCAGCGAATGAATTACTCAAACTGTAATGTTTCAATATATGATTTTTTCTCTACTCCACTTCTATTCAGGTCAGACATATTACTGAGTTTCTAAATGAAAGCATGGACTGCCAGCTTTCAGTGTACAGCAAGAAAATGGAAAAAGCTGGATTTCCTCCAAAATGGACAACACCAGGACAGAGAGAGTACTGTGCACAGATTCCATTACTACATTTTTTAATAGGCTACGTATTGGAGTAACAAAAAATAATAATAATAAACAGTTCAGTATGAATTCCTGCTCAATGAACATACCCATTAAACAGCAAGAACACTGTGAAGCAGGAAGTGAACTCCATAGTGCAAATATTCAACATCAATGTTTGCATTCTCAAAGGAAATAAACCTGGAATGTATATATGTATATATTAGCCCTGTCAAAAGTTCTTTTTCTTATAGTTTGGAAAAATTCAGCATAATGATCTGAAACCTTTTTCCACAGATACATGTCACTAATTATTGCATACTGGAACAGTTACAGCACAGAAGGAGGCTATTCAGCCTGTCATGTCCATACTGGCCCTCTACAAGAGAAACCCAGCCACTCACACACCTCTGACACTCCCCCATTGCCCTGCATTATGTTTTCTCTCTTCAAATGCTCATCCATTCCCCTTTTTGAAAGCCACAACTGAATGTGTCTCTACAACTCTCTCAGGCTCTAACCATTTGCTACATGAAAATAACTTATTATTGGTGACATTATGGGTTATTTTTTCAATCACCTTGAATCAGTTCTTGATCTTTTACCAACAGGAATGGTTTCTCTACCTACTCTGTCGGACGTCTTCATGATTTTTTACATGCCTATCCAGTCTCCTTTTAATTGTTGCTTTTATAAAGTGAACAATGCCAGATTCTCCAATCCATCCACTTAAATAAAGTCTTACATCTTCAGAACTATTCTCAAAACTTTTTCTATGCTCTTGCTTAAATAATTCATATTCTTCCTAAAGTGCTTTGCCCAGAATTAGGCATAATGCTACTGCTCTCAGACTATGATGAATTTCCTAGTCCTGACCTCACTCTTCTTATAAGGGGAGATCTTCCCTAAACTGGCCAAGTAAGAGATAGTTTTCAATTTTGCCATCAACTTAAGGAAGGTGGGTGGACCTGAAGCTGTGGTCCAATCAGAGGTCTACAATCTTGAAAGGATAGCAGTCCAAATTTGGAGAGGTAATCACAACCACTGTTCAAGGAGAACTAATTCCCTTCCTCAAGACTGGCAGCAGCTGCCTACTGATGGCGTAGACCATTTAGGACTGAGAAGATGAGAAATTTCTTCACCCAGAGAATGGTGAGCCTGTGGAATTCCCTGGCACAGAAAGTGGTTGAAGTCAAAATATTGAATGTTTTGCGGAAGGAGTTAGAGGTATTTCATAGGACTAACGGGATCAAAGGGTATGGGCAGAAAGCAAATAATGAATTAGATGATCAGCCATGATCATGTTGAATGACAAAGTAGACTCAAATGATTGAATGGCCTACTCCTGCTCCTTTTGTCTATGTTTCTATGTTGTGGCTCTGGAGAGGGAGAGGAGAGGATGTGGAAAGGGTGGGTTTAAAATAAGAGACTGCACGCCCATGTGCAAAGCAAAATTCTGTAGACGTTGGAAATCTGAAAGAAACACAGAATGCTCGAGAAATTCCACAGGTCTGGCAACATCTGTGGAGAAAGAAACAGTGTTAACAGTTTGAGCCCAGTTTGATTTTTCCTCAGAACTTCCTCAAACAACTACATCACCATTATTAACCCTCTCTTATAATAAAAGCAAAGTACTGCATATGCCAGAGATTGGAAATAAAAACAGAAAGTCCTGGAAAAAATTCAGCAGGTTTGGCAAAAATTGAGTACAGAGAGAAAGAGGATGCATGCTTCAAGTCTAATATGACTCTTTTTCAGGATGAGAGGGAGCTGAAAAAGTGATGAGCAGGAACAAGTGAAACAGATGGTAAAAGTGCCCAAGAGCAAAATGCAAAAAGTGTGCTAATAAGAGTGGTTAAGAAGAGATTAGGATGGCAAGTAGCTGGTAGTATAAAGTGCATTTAATAGAAAATAGATCAACTCTATTGAGGTGAAACATATTCAAACAAGATATTAGAGAGGAGATGGAGTGGGCACACCTACCTTCCTTGCAAAATCCCCAACAGGACTGCCCTGGCAGATTCATCATTTCAGCCAGTTCCTGCCCCAACGAACTTATTTTTTCTCATCTTGATTCTATTTTTTCTCCCCTTGTACAGTCTCTTCTCACTTACAGTCATGATTCTTCTGACACTGTAAATCAGTTCCACAATTTCCAATTTCTTGGCCACAGCCACCTGTCTTCAACATCGATGTGCAATCCTTCGACACCTCCAGCACCAATTAGGATGGTCTGAGGGTCCTCTGCTTAGCTTGATCTCACTTCGAACAATTTCTCCTTTAAATTGTCTCATTTTCTCCTATGTAAGAGTAAGCACATGGTCCCAGTTATACTGTCTCCTTGTGGGGTATGTGGAACATTCCTTTCTCTAGTCTTATTGTAACCCTTCCCATAACTCTTTTTCTGAAAATTCTATAGCGTCATTAGTGCTGTTTCCTGCACTCATCCAGAATTAGAAAAATCCATCAATTTTGCATCCAATTTCCACCCTTCCCTTACCTTTATCTAGTCCATTATTGACTCTTCCCTTCCCTT